GTGTAGTAAAATGCTTAGTATGAAAATGCAAAACTCTTTGGGTGGGGCACTGAAGGCCAAGGGGAAGACCATGTGCCGCTAACTGGAAGCTTTTCCGTTGAATTCACAGCTGCTCCTTCCAGCTGGGTTGAGTAGGGGTGGGGGTGGCTCTGATGCTCGTCTCTTTTTAGCTTCCCTGGTAGCACGGTGAGTTAAGCGTTAAGCTGCTAACCACAAGGTCAGTGGCTCGAGCCAACCAGAGGCTCTTGGGGAGAAAGATGAGGCAGTCTGCTTCAAAACTATCGACAGCTTGGAGACCCTCCGGAGCGCACTCTGCCCTGGAGGGCTGCCCTGAGTCAGAATCAACTCGATGGCAGTGGGTTCTTCCTTGTTATCTGCGGGGAGCTCCTCTGCCCTGGCCTCTATATTTCAGCCCCATCTCTGCTGGCTGAATCTGTTCTTTTAAATCTCATGAGAGAGGGATTGGAATCACAGGGATCCTCCATTAATGTAACAGAGGAAAGCCATTTCCCAGTGGAGTATTAAATGCAGGTATAAGACCAAACCCATGGCATTAAGCAAATGCTGGAGAGATGCTCTAAGACAGAGTGGAACTGCCCCATAGCCTTCCCAAGACTGTACATCTTGACAGAAGCAAACGGCCAGCCACATCTTTCTTCTTGAGCAACCCGGGGCGGGGACGGGGGCGGGGACGGGGGCAGGGGTGGGGCGGAAGCGGTTAAACCATCAACCTGTCAGCAGCTCAGCACTTAACCACTTCACCACCAGCGCTCCTTTGAGGACCCTAAGGAATTAGAACTGAGATGAAAGTAACCTCTTGATGCTGCCCTCTGGTGGTACATAGATGAAATCACACCTGTAAAAATTCTATCGCAGGCCCCCAAATTTGGTGAGTTTCTACAGACTGCCAGAATGGAGGAAACGTTCCACTGAAGCTATAGATCGGGCCATCAGAACGGTATCTTCTAGCTCTCTTTGAGCCACGCATTTGGAGGCCGTCTTTCGTTGTTTGGCCTAAGGGAGCTCAGCACAGGGTGCCGCGTCCACTCACTCCTTTGGACTTTCAGGAGCTCAGCACCCCAAAACGGCTCCCTAAATATTTGTCAACTTTACAGGCTGGCCAGTAGCATGAGTTTGGTCAACATTAGCAAGGCGGATTTTCAAAAACAGAGTTGAAATTTAAGTGTGTAATTGGATTGCCCTTCTCTTCCACGTGCCCCAGCTTACTGTAGCTCTAACCCACTGCCCCATGGCTGCAGAGCCCTGGGGAATAGTCCTGCTGGTTCTCAAGCAGCGAGACAGGGTCCACAGTCTTCCATCTCCCTCAGCTCAAGCACTTGGCTTTTAATGTTGGACAGGGTGTCCTCCCACAACAGCGCTTCTCCACCTGTGGGTCGAGACTCCTTTGTGGCTCAAACGACCCTTTCACAGGGGTCGCCTAATAGATCCTGCATATCAGATGGTTACATTACGGTTCCTAACTAGCAAAATTACAGTGATGAAGTAGCAACAAAAATAATTTTATGGTTGGGGGCTCAACACAACATGAGGAACTGTATTAAAGGGCCGCAGCCTTAGGAAAGTTGAGAACTACTGTCCTACACCCTTTAACTTGAGTCCCAAATATGAATGTTTTAAAACATTGGCTTTCTCTCCGCAGCCCCCCACCAACACACATCCACACACACGCGGTTGGTTTGGTTGTTTCTCCTGAATCAATTAAGTTGCAGATGCTCTTGGACTCCTGGAGTAGGTTCCAATTCCTGGCACCTCTTTCTACAAGAAGTGAGACACTGCTCAGTCCTGTACCCTTCTCACGGTCACTGTGTGCGGGAGCCCCCGTCGCAGCCCACCTCACTGAGGGGCTTCCTCGTTTGCACTGACCCTCCACTTTAATAAATCATGTTATTGGGAGTACATCCATGGTGTCAAGCACATTTGTACCTTTGTTGCCATCATTATTCTCAAAACATTTGCTTTCTATTTGAGCCCTTGGTATCCGCTCCTCATTTTTCTTCTCCCTCCCCCATCCCTCCCTCACAAACCCTTCATAATTTATACATTTTTCCCCATGTTTTACACTGACCAATGTCTCCCTTCACCCACTTTTCTGTTGTTCATCCCCCAGGGAGGGGGTTATATTATAGATCATTGTGATCTGTTCCCCTTTCTCCCCCACCTTCCCCTTACCCTCGTGGTATCCCCACTCTCATTATTGGTCATGAGGGATTTATCTGTCCTGGATTCCCTGTGTTTCCAGCTCGTATCTGTACCAGTGTACATGCT